CACTATCGATACTAAAAACATGTAACGTATACTAAAAATATAACGTATTTTTAAGGACTAGGACTGCTTCTGCCAATGTACGCCATAGAGATCTTCACTGATGCACAGAAGCTTGGCCATCCAGGCTCACTGATTAAAGCACGCACTTGACTGTCTGGATGGAGGCGGCTGTCTTAAGAGTTCCAGCTTCCACCTGCCCTTGTCGTCCCTATGCTACCTGCCTGAGAGGGGGCCTTTGTTATAACGCAGATCAACCCACATGCCCATCTGCAGTTTCCATTTTCCTTTTCTCTCTCCCCTCCATTATTCTCTGCTTAACTCTGCTCTATTCCCTTTGTCTCCAGAGCAAAAACTGGAAATTCTGAAGATAATACAGTGAAGAAAACTCGGGCTGCCTGACTTCATTCACATTTTATGAATTTAATAAGGCCAAATCAAAATTTAAAACCACAGAACATTAGAGCTGAAAAAGGTTACTTGTGACCATCTAGGCCTTGGGAAAATCTGAAACGGGTAGGGAAATTAAAGCCCAGAGAAGTGAAATGAAATGACTCGAGGTCACACAGCTGGCATAGCCAGAAGACAGGCATCCCAACTCCCAATCTGTTACTCCAAGGTGCTACATAGATTGTTTTTTTTTTTTTAATATATTCAGGAGCAAATAACTTTAAAAGTAAATAATAAGCTTATCCCAAATCCTGCAGCTCCTTACATAAGGACCCGTAATTTAATGGTAAAAGTCTAGGCTCTGGGCCAGACTGGTTTCACCGCTTACTAGCCACGTGACCTTAGGCAGGTTAGGTAAACTCTTCATTCTGATTTCATCACCAAAAATGAAGAACATCAGCACCTACCTCGTGGGGCTGTTGGGAAAATAAAAAGACTCAATATATGTAAAACACACCTGACAGAGCCCTGCCCAGGTTACGTATTTAATAAAGGTCAGCTATCATCCTCAGTATTGAAACCATGCCCATTTTTAAAAGTGACATGGAAAGAGTTTTGGACATTGAAGATGATCCGGTTGGCTGGAGATCCATTTCTGTCCTTAGAATCTTAAATTCCTTACCATGAGTTTGGTATATCATCATCTAAACATCCCTGAGATGGTTTTTCAAAGCTACAAAGGAATTACAGAGGCACACACAGGCAGCCGAAAACGAAAGTCACACAGCATCATGCTCTTCAAAGGCCCTTGCTTACACAAGCAATGGTGCAGTGGCTGCGAAGGGCCAGTGCTGTCTGAGACAGCATTTCATCAGCTCAACCACTCCTGCCTCCCACGGAGACGCAGAGCTAGGGCCTGGCGGACGAGGGCGAGGGTGCGTGCTCACAGGTGTAGGAAGGCCGCTCTCCAAGACCGGTCACCTCCACTGCGGTGGGCTGAGAAGCTTCCCCCACCACCTTAGCTTCTTTTCTTTTTTATTTTTTTTAAGTAGCCTACACAACTTCATGCCAGTCGGAGCAAACATTTCTCAACTCCTATAACCACCTCTGATCCATCATAGACACCAGGAAAATGGGGACCCTGCTCCACAAAGTTCTATGTATGCTGAACGCCTAGACACTAATTCCTTGTGGCCAATAATGCAAAAAAAAAAAAATTGTGCTTTCATATTAAACACAAGTTGTATATTCATTCCAGAGTGCAAAGTCAACAAAATTTGGACCTGTATCATGTATTATGGCACTAATAAACGCCTCAATTCCATTACAGTTTAATTCTTAACCTAAATACACATTTTAAAAGTAACTTGTACTCTCATTTAAAAAAAAAGTGAACAAAATAGGATTCTAACATATTTCCACATTCTACGTAACAATAGTTATATAACAACTGATTTTGCTTGTATAGTGACTAGCTTTAAAATTTGTTCCCAAATAAACTGTATCAAGAGCTAATGTAAAGTATGTGCTAAAAAGGACAAGGACCTTTCAGAAACATAGAATGCTAATATTTTGGAAACCAGAGATCTGACAGCTTGAAATTATGGACACTTGCCCAAAAGAGACACTCTTAACGAATAACTGCTATTCTCTTCCATCTCTTCCAGGAGAAGGACCAGAAAAATATACCTCTAGGCTCAAAGCAAGACACTGGACTTTCTGTAGAGGGTAGATATCAAACTGCGAACTGTTTCTGAGTTCCAGCCTTCACAACCTTAAGCCCAAATATATTTGCTGCTGACAAAAACAGCTTGAAGCATTTTCTACAGATTCATCGTTTCCTTGGTGATGTGTACACTATTAAAAATAAATTACGCATAGATCTCCCAAAGGACGTACACGCGGGCATTAATTGCAGCATAGCTTGTAACAGCAAATAAATGGAGATAATCTAAATATGCTTCAACAGAAGAATGATTAAATTGTGCTATATCCAGACAGTGAAATTCCATTTTGCTGCTAGAAAAAAACAAGGTAGATCTATAGGTACTGACATAGGATGATAACCATAATAGACTGTGAAGTAAGAGCACAGGGACAATGTTTTCCATAGACCACCTTTTGAAAAAGATCACACGGATATACTCTATTACATACGGCATTCTATATATTATGCTACAACTAGCTTTTTTCCCTCCCAGATGGGTTTATGTATGCAGAAAAGTCCATAAATGACACTAAACCCAATCCCTGCAAAAGGTACTGGGAAGGTAAATTTAATTATATATATTTTGTTATATGATTTTTTTAAACTCAAGAGCATGGTTTTTGGGGGTTTTTTTTTCCGATTTTCAAATAAAAATTAACTTAATAAAAATGCCTTCTGATGCTTATTGAACATATGAAAAGTATATTCAAGTTTCTTTCTTATCATCTCCATAAAATATACCTCCTTTCCATGAACCATACACTTTTTAGATCATGTGAGAGTCCTCACCCTCCCACATGCAAAAGAAATTTATTTTCCCCCGGTGTATATGGATTCTAGACGTGGTGAGATGTAAAGTATTCTGGCATGGCTATAAATGACCTGAAGTTGAATGGTTTAAAAATATATCAAAGCCGGGTCTGTTCACTGTGACATTATCTGTCTTTTGTCAAATACATCCCCTCTAAGCTCCTACTCTACCCATATCGCCACCACAGAGAGGCTATTCTGGTTTCTCTTCCCACAAATAATTGCTCTGTTTTTCCTCCCTTCAGCCATGGCACTCGTAGGATCTCGTTTCCCACGGAGAACCTCTGTGGGGTTCTCTACAAAAACCAGGTTCCCACTGCAGGAAATTACGGACAGTCAGAGGATGCCTTTCTAATTGATCCTTTAGGGTCCATCCAATAATCAAACATTAAAATATAAAAACTTATGAATCACAGAGCATCAAAAAATGCAATGTCAGACATCTAGTTTCCTTAAAATAGTAGAGCAACTTTTAAAACAGACATATTCATATTCTGATGGCTATTCTAGAAAGACATCGATGTAACTGACAAGCCCAGTTCCAGATACTGGCAAAGTATAAGAAAATATTATAAAACAGATCCAATAACACTAACGATGGTGAACACAGGCTTGAATGCTATATTCGTCTTTATACTTAAGTTTTCTAAAGTTTCTGTAACGAACACAGCTAGGCTATACAATAATTTTTTTGAAGGGCTTAAAAATATACTGATGAAGACCCATAGCGAGCTGACAAACCGGGTGAAGACACCGCTACTCCGATGTCACCACCACATTTTCCTAGGGAGCCTTCTGAAACCCTGTTGGCATCTTGGAAACGAGGAGAAATATTACCTCCCCTGGGAGAACTTCCTCAACTCCCCAAGCTGGCTCAATTGCTCACTTTTCTATATTCCCCGGGCACTCTGTTCTACCATGATTACCATACCAAACGCATGATTTCTGTCTGCACCGAAATTCTCGATTTGCACATTACATTTTCTCCCAAAATGGAATGGAAGCGCCTCCAGAACGAGGAGAGTAATGCACTGATGTCTGTGGCCCCACGATACTGCCTGACATATTAGCAGTTTTCAAGTTTCTTGAGTGAATGAGAAGTGTACTTGCCACAGATTCGCTCAGCTATTTAACTCAGCAGGTATGGAAAACAGGTGCCTACTGAAGCCCACCGGAGGTACCCACCATGTGCTTCAGAGAAGCTGAACTCTCATGTGACTAGGAACAGCCCCCCGACACCCACATTTTCCAATGTCACTATGACAAGGATAGAACAAGCATATAGCTGTCAGTGCACAAGCAGACCCTGACAGGTAAGTCGACAGGCAGGAGAGATTCTCCACCTGAGAATGAAAAGGAAAGCCCCCCTCTTTGAACAGGGGTTTCCACGTTGCAGGTAATATCACATTTCTAACGATGGTGGTGGATACGGGGGTATTCATTTTCTTCTTGACACCTTTCATGTGTTATTATTCGTTTTTTGTATGATTCGGTAGTCTCTGAAACCATGACGAGTTTTCAGAAGATTTCCCTTTGCTCATTGCTTTAGTAAACATACCGTAAACCTTTACTATGTTCTAGGCACTATGCTTTGGGGGATTCAGACATGAATAAGTCATAGTCTGTACCCCAGAGGGGTTGCAGTCAAATGCAGGAGACACATAAATAGATACGACACAACTGGACACTGCTTATCCAAGGGTTGCTCATTTTCCAGAACCCAGAAAACGGCCTATCCCATCAACCTCACTGCTTCCCATTCCGCAGTGCAGGGAACAAGGAAATGCTCAGGACAGCCAAATGCACAGCTCGAGGCTCTCCAATCGGCATTGAAAGTGACCAGAAAACACACCGAGCCACCTCACGCATAAGCAGTAGTTCCTGCATTTTTCATTCTTCTTCTCTTGTGCTTTATTATCTGGAGAACTCTGTGCAAATTCTAACATGTGGGAATCTCACCAAGTTGAAAACAGTTAAGATTTGAGTCCGCTAAGCTCTGATAACTTAAGCTGGATCTCCTCCTGACGCCACCCCCGGGAAAGAGCCCACGTGCTGAATTCGGTTAAGGCTGGAAGCCACCCCTCCATCTGCTTACCACGTGTGTTGGTAGCCATGTCAGCCACTTTCTGGAAGGCGTCCAAGAAGGCAGCTGCCGCTACTACTGTTGTCCTACAAGGCAAACAGATAACAAAAGCATGAGGCACGTGTCACACTCACCAATCCACGACAGCCAAAGGGCTAAAACCTCTGCTGAGGCCTGAACGTCACCTTGCAGGGAAAACGACTCAACCGGCCATGGGTAACCACTGGTTTTGTGGGCCCACCTTTTTCTCAGGAAGCGATTTCTCCTTCTCAGATTGTTAGCACTCTGCCCCAATCATGTCCGGCTCATTCTGTGCTAGTCGATAAATGCCAGCCGTTCTTCCCATCCCATTTCGCCTGACAGTATAAAATTATTACCAGGTAAAATTCCACAAAGGAGGAAAAGACAGGTGTTTTGGCCAAAAAAAAAATCATTAAAGTATATAAATGGTACCAGTAAAATTAATTTTAGAGTAGGAAAACTGTGTGTGTGTGTGTGTGTGTGTGTGTGTGTGTGTGTACATACATACATACATACATGGATTGGGAGAAGGACTCTTAATGAGAGATCATCTAGTTTAAACAACTAATTTTAGAGATGGGAAAAAGAGACCAGACTCACAGCCCTGTGCTCATCCCACTAAATGACAAGATCTGAGCTATGTGACTTTTCCTCCTACATCATAATTACGATAAAAATCAGATACTATTTTTCCACCCTTACAATGCCATCTCAGCTGTATCTTCTGAATTCTTAAAAGCTGAGAATGGGAAGAAGTTACTATACTCATCTGCTGGCCTAGAAATTGTCCTGAGCTCTTCACATGCTCTTGAAGTGATGCCCTGAGCACTCTGTGGTCTTCTGGCTCCTGGAGTGACGATCCAAAATGTCACTCAATGAAGAGTAAGCACTGCTGCACGTCGGGCCATGCGGACATGGGCCGTGGCTTCCCCGGACAAGCAAGCCAGCTTTACAACGGAGCTTATCCCTGACGCTGACTCCAAGAATTACTTATGAATCCAGCCTTTACTGAGCACTCCTAAGAATGAAAAGTTGCTGTAGAAGGTGAGAAAGGAAGGGGTTGGAAATGGAGAAAAAGGAAAGAAGTGGCCTTTAAGCACAAGCGACAGTGGCTGTGAGACAACAGGCCCCTGGAGGTGCTGGGAGCCATCCCAGGGGACACCAGCAAACTTCGAAATGAGGCCCGATATTTTCCAGTAGAGCAAGAAAGCTTCCACTCAAATTAAAAAATAAAAAATGATATACACACAAAACAAAACAAAAAACCCACTTCGAAGCACATTTTTAAAAGAACTGACATCAAATGCGAACTCTAGAAAAGTTAGCTTTACCAAACACCCTGGGACTTATAAATAACTCATTCTGACCTACGATTAATATCTGACACAGAGGCTGGATTTATTCTCATTCAAGTCAATGCCGATCATCCAAATTTAATGAGCCTGCAGGAGAGGTGCCTTGAGCATTACGCAGCCACCAGGGCTGTACAGAAAATGAGGACAGTGGTCAAGTGTGAGGAATTAAGAGTTTTTAAACACTGCCTTCCAATGACTCATGTTTCACTGTCCGCTGCTGTCAGAAGTCATCTTACCCTCTCCAATGGGACAGGATGAACATGCAACCACAGGCAGCAGAGAGGAGTTCAGCTTAAATCCTCCCAGATTTATTTGCCTCTTCTACGGTCTTATCTTTATCCTTTCTCTAATAAAGAAAACTACATGAGGCCCCTACAGTGCCCTCAGCCAGTTTCTAGTAGTTTGACAAAATAAAGAAATGGTCCTTGCTTTCAGGAGGCCTGAATGCTATAAAAAAATAGAACATGAACTTTGTACCAGTAGGGATCGGTGTGCTCTGTGCCTTACTCTGTATGTTTAGGACGGCTAATCGGTTAATTACTTCAAACTCTGGCTTCCTTGTTGGTAAAAGGGGAAAAGAATCTTTTCCTTGGTCAACCCTGAAAGCCTGTCAGATAATTAAATGAGACCAGATAAGAAAAAGTGGGGGGGGGGGGGCTTAAATGTTTTATTGTTTTACTACAGGATGGTGGCTAACCTATGTGAAGTAAATGATAATAGTGTCAGAGATAAGTAAGGCGAAGGGCTCAGACCAAGGGCTTTACATTCTGAGCAGAGGAGGTTGGATCCGACTTGGCAGAAAGTCATCACAAGTTCTTAAGCAAAGAAATGGTAAAGGACTTGACGAGTGGAGGAGGAGCCGTGTCCCAGAACCCACTGTCCATCGGGAGGCCACTCACGGCTCTGGGAATCCAGAACCCACGAAGCTGAGGATCAGGAAGGAAAAGACCCACCTCTCCCAGGTTCTTCTCTCCTAATCTCCAGGTCAGCCACGCAATGTCCAGTCCTATGGCTAAAGCTCTGGTGTCCACAGGCAAAGGCCAAGAGCATCGAGTCATCCCTCTGTCCTCTCTCTGTCATTCCCATGGCTTTTGATCCTGAAACATACCTACCCACTTCATTCTCTGGAAAACCATCCTTATACATCCAAACCACCCTACGTCATGCCCCGCGCACCACGAACAGGGGCCAGGAAAATGACTGCTTCTTTAACCGTCTCATCTCTCATGGAACACCCACAAAGTACAACAGTCCCCCTTCTCCCCACTGATTACAAGCACACAGCTTTAACAAGAAGATGCTGAAATATCTTCCATTTCTTATCAAATGATGTAAGAATAAGCACAAGATGAGGCAATAATAATAGCCCCTTAGAGCAGCACTAAATCTTATTGTTTGTTAAGCAGCTTTACTGAGGAATAATTTGTATACCACAAAATTCACCCTTTTGGGGTATCTGATTCAACCATTTTTTGGTAAATTTAGAGTTATATAACTACCATCATAATCCAATTTTAGAACATTTCCATCACCCCAAAAAGATCCTTCATGCCCATTTGTATTCAATCTCCTCTTCCGCCCATGGCCCCAGGCAACCACCAATCCACACCTGTCTCTGCAGATTAGCTTTTTCTAGACATACCATGTAAATGGGATTCTGTAACAGTCAGCACTAAGTTTGACGCTCTTTATAAGAATAAGCTGTAAGCAGAATGAACACTGGAGCCATATGCGTGAGTTCAAATCCCCACTCTGCTCTGTGACTTTGGGTTATGTAACTCCTCCATGCCTCGGTTTCCTCATAAGTGAAATAACTGTACTTACCTCGTGGGGTTGTAAGCCTCAATCAGGCTAACATAAGCCTGGTGCACAGCGAACACCACATTAATGTTGCCCCTTATTACTTCACATATAATACCCCCTTTAAGTCTCAAAACTCCCTTGGAAGGAGGCAGAGCAGATGAGTTCAATTTCATATAGGAGAATCAGAGGCCAGGGCACAGGGCTAGTAAGTGGCAATGCTCAAATCAGAACCCACCACATGCTTCTATATCTGTAACACTTTGAATATTAACCCCCGTCTGCGTCCTGGGTCCATCCTAGTCCATCCTTTGTCCAAGGACATGGCCATTTTCCTGGAGCCAACAGGCTTCTACTCACCGAAGCTGGGACTGTAGCTTTCCCGCTTTGTTTATGAAATCTTCCCAAACTGGATAGCTCCCCTACAACAAAACAAAGTCATCAATCAGTAAGTCGAGCTGTGACAGACATCTGATTAAAACAACAAAAGAACACCCAGTTCCAATCACACAGGGAACAATCCGTGTATGCTCTCCTCCTCTGCAGTCCCTGGTATGTTACCCAGATCGTATATAAACGTATTGGCTCAGGAACGGGTTTCGAATGCACTCGATCCCTGTAATCTTGTAAACACTACAGACATCAACTAGAACAACTTTGGCAGAAACTAACGCGTACATTGATGCGTCACTTTTTGAGTCAATGAATGGCGGGTCCAAATTCAAAATGTGCAGAGTATTTAAGGCTTTACCCTGAACCATCTGACCACGGCTCTGGCTTTCTCACTCTTATCCCAAATGCCCGGGGGGAGAGAAGCAGAGTGGCTGGGGCTGCTCCCCAGGCCAGGTGGCTACTTGGAAACATTATCAGACTATCAGAGTTTCAAGGTTGGGAGGCTACCTAAACATAGCTGCTGTGCTGATGGCTTGAACCCAGCCATCTCCATACAACATGGCGACAGGTGGTTCCCCAGCACATTCCAGCTAATAGCGAACTCGGCACCCTCCCACAGCAGTCTACATCCTCTACCTTGTCCTACATACCCCTGCACCCTAGTTCTAACCTTCTGGGGACCCTCAGAGTTCTAAAACCAATCCTGCTTCCACATGGAAGCCTTCTCAAAGAACTGAGGATAACCGGCACATTCATCCGCAGCCTTCCCTCTTTCAGCTCCCCAAGTGCAATCCCCTTTCTACCCGGGACCCCGGCTCACATCCCCACAGTGTCCTGGGACCACCCCATTGTGTCTCCCTACTCTCCTTCGAAGCACGGCATTCAGACACAAACTCAAAGCTGTAGGTGCAATTCTGACTGAGCCAAATCAGGGTGAGGTCTGACACCCCCCTGTGCATACACATTACATTTATATTAAGATCAAGGAGCCAACCGACCAATAGGTGATGCAAAACAAACCCAGGAAAGGAAACCATGGTTACAGAAGCGGTGTTTGGCACCGAATCATTTAAATATAGAACTAAGACTAAACATCTGGGAGGGTTATGGTTGGAGGACAGAATGTAAATGAACCGTGACATGGTAAAAACAACACGTGCCACTTCTGATTCTGCCACTGAGGAGAGGAGGGAGAAACGATACGATGAAGTTAATCGTCTCGTCTTTCACTTGAGAAGCCCAATCCAAATAGTCTAAAACTGCAACTGAGCTAAAACATAATGATTTCACCTTCCTAATGGTTTTAATAATCTTTTTTTTTTCTTAGCCTTCAAGGCAGTCTCTTAACATCACCACTACTGACATTTTGGGCCAGGTGATCCTTTTTCATGGGGAGCTGCCCTGTGCATTGTAGGACATTTAGCAGCATCCTTGACCTCTATTCACTAGGTGCCAGTAACATTCACAGATGCTGCTGGTTGTAACAACATTGCCCGATGTCTCTGTGGGGGCAAATCTTCCCCAGTTAAGAACCACTGCTTTAGAGGAATGTCTGAGGAATTTATTTCTTTTGGTAAACAAACAATTCCCTGAAATTCAGCAATTTCTTTGGTATTACTTCACTTCAGTTTTGATTCTTCAGTTAAATGAAAGTAAAATTAAATATATTTTTATTGTGAAACACCACACAGCATGAACACCTCGTTATAAAAGTAACTATGTACGTATTTCTCTAGCTGTCAAGTCTGTCTGAAAATATGCAGAGAGATATCCAGAAAACTGTCCACCAAATATTAAAATGGGCCATTTCCAGAAACTAAGATTTGGACCAATGTGTTGCTTTCTCGTTTGTACTTTCTTCTACAGCCATGGCTACTTTTTTAAATAAGGCTGTGTATCATTTTTATGAAAAAAACAAGTCATTACATAAAATATTTAAGATCGAATTAGAGGTGCTGGCAACAACAGCACCGTGAATTTACAATCCACCCAAACCCTACAGTCTGTCACACACCAGCTGCTAGATCACATCCATCCGCTCTGCACTGGTGCCTCTGGACTCTGCTTGGCCCAGCTGCAGGCCTGCGACTTACTCCTCCAAGCAGCGACTTGCTCTTGGGACGCTAAGGGACACTAGGTCAGGGATCCTGGCAGAGGCCCTGAGCTACGATGCCAGTACCCATGCCCGGGTCTTGTCACCATACTGCTAAGCCACGTAGTCTCCATCCAGTCTTTGTGACCTGGGTTAGGCGTAAGGGAATGCGGGTGAGGGTTCTTCAACCCAAGAGCATGACTTTATTCTAACTTATGTTGAATGAAGCCTTGTGAGAGCTCAGGCTACCCCTGTTCCAGGCTCATCAAGACATTGTGGGGATTCCAACTGTAACAGCTAACATATTTAGCATTTTCCTATCAAGTCCAGGCATGAACACCCCCTTCTACATCTATACTCAAATAAAGAAGCAGGTAAGGTAGAGACCAGTCGACCAGCGGGCAACGGACATCAGTTAGCACCCTCAAGAGCACAAGAGTTCGACCGACCCATTACAGCCTCATCCGGCCATTCTTTCTCTTTCTGATCCACAGGACAGTATGAGAAGCTTTATGAAAAGAATGAGGATGTTCAGAGATACTGACCACCAACTTCTAGCCAAAGGCAGCATCATCTCGCGTCTACACAAAAGACAAGGACATGAGAGCCAGGTTTTCCTCTCCCCGGCACCACCCACTCCCATCCGGGAGCCCCTGGAGAAGATCACCAAGATGATCCACAATATTCCTCAAGAAAAAAGTCAGGCGCCTCCACTGCAAACAGGCCAGAAGGGCAAGAGGCCTACACAGGCAGCATCAAGCCCCGAGTCCTCGCCATGGTCCTGAAGTCGCTTTATGTCTCAGGGCCTGCTCCTGATGATGATAAATAATACAAACAAATCGTTCCATCAGCATTACTGAACGCTGACGTCACGCAACACTGAAAGGAAGTAGGAAAGGAACAAGGAACACAAATTCTCCCGGATTGAATCTCGGCTCTCCCGTCTGCAGTGCAACGTCAGGCAAGTCACTCGACCTCTGCATGGGGACCAGTCACTACCTCGCAGGGCTGGTGTGAGGAATAAATGAGGTCACACATAAAACGTGCTTGGAGCAGCGATGGGCACTCGGTAAGTATTCAATACACATTTGGTAGGAATGATTCAAGCGTTTCTCAGGCTGCTCAGAGAGAAGCTAAAACCTCCCTCCATCAGACTGTCCATCCAGGCGGGAACTCCTCACCCTTAGTCCTAAGCACAGCACCCACTGTGTCCCTGCACCTCGCGATCAGCTCACCGCAGTCACAGCAGGAACAGACCACGGCCCGTGGGTGCAGTGTCAGACAGTGTCTCTGCCTGCCGCTCCCAGGCAAACGGTGGGGGGAATGCTCCACGCGGATGAGCGAGCCTGAAAACAGCTGCTCCAACCACTCTGAAAACTACTCACCTGCCCCCACTTGGAGCCTCATTTCAGTCGCTACAAAATTAGCTACAGAAGGAGGGTCCCCTCTCCAGTCAAGGGGTAAGGCATGCAGCTCTCCGCCTACGGACGCCCACTCAGCCAGAGGAAGGCTGCCAAAAGCAGATCTCTCCTGATTTAATGATGTTTGACAGTCTATCAAAGTGTCAGGCCCACCTGTTTTAAGCAATCTATAATTTAATGGATTCTAAAAAAAAAAAAAAAAAAAATGAATTTCTAAGAACAGAAGACAAAAACCTCCTTGTTGAAGAAAAAAATTTTAAGTGTGTAAATGTTATTCAAATTTAAAGGCAAGGTGATTTGGGTGGCTCCAGATTTTTTTTTTTTTTTTTTGAAGTTTATTTAAAGGAAAAAAAGTTTCTACCCACTTGAAGGTGGTTTTACTACGAAAATGCAAAAGCTTGGAGGAAGTGAGAAAGAAGGCTGAAGGGAAGTTAGTGGAGACTTGTAGAGAGAATAAAAGGGAAAAGAACAAAAGCCCTGGGTTTTTCTAGACAATGAGACTTAGTAAAGGGCGGCACACTCAGACTGCCCAAGAAATCTGCCAGTCGAGACACTGTATGCTGAGGACACCTTAGAAATTCCAACACAGTCCTTCCTTTCCTATCCTGTACCGCTGTCCACCAAGAAGTCCCAGAAAATTCTCTCCTGAGGCCCGGTTCTGACCAGGTTCACATCTGAGGAGATCGCTAGAAGGCATCCCCAGAACTGTGAAAAAAGTCTCCACACAGACCCCCTCACACGCACTGGGGGGTTCACCGGAGAACACATCAAGGTTTCACGCCTTTCCAGACAGACCCAGATCAAAGGAAGTGAGACTTGTCTGCCAAGTCCAAAGTCACAGGCAAAGGGGAAAACATTCTCCTGCCTGGAACCACCTGAATTTCTTCGGAGAGGAAGGTGGGAAGGTTTCAAATCCTCAGCAGTTTGCTGGAAAGAGAGCTCAGATCACCCTGGGATCTAAGAGAAAGGAAAAGCCCCCCGTCACAGAAAAGGGAAGAGAAAGTGGGTTTGTATACAAGCATGTAAAGGATCCCCTTAATCAAGCTGCTTGGCTGTCACCATGCTCCCCACACCACACACGCCACCCCTGAGGGCTGTCCTCTCTTCCAATCTCCGGGGCATCCAACGACCTTGACAACTACTCAGCCACCACCACACGGCTCAAATGTCACCTCATCCGGGGCATTCTTGGATGCATCTGCTGCCCTCACATCACGTAACCCACTGTCCGTGAGCTCGAGGACTCAGAATGGAGGGAGGCAAAGCATTTCTAGTAAGAGGGGGTGGCAGGGATGCAGGGGGGACCCAAGTGAGAGGCAGGGATGCAGGGGGGATCCAGCAATGATCTAGCCAGAAGGAAGACAGGGAGGCAGAGAGGACCCAAGCAGGCTCTCTCCACGGGACACTGGGGAGGTGCATTTATGCCGGGGAGCAGGGGACGGGCAGGTGGACAAGGTGACCACAAACAGCCTTCAAGGGCAAGGTCCACAGCTCGGCCACAAATGGGACAGTGGAG